TCACTAGGTTTTGAGGGGCTGCCTCCAGCCTAGAGAATAGCCTTGTCTTCAAACATATGTTAGACAGAACATGCTCTAGACGAGGGACTGACACCTAAAACTTTAAGGTCGATGATGTTACATCGTTTCAGTTCTGTCACAACTTTTCTGTACTCGACTGAAGAAGCCTACTGTGTAGGCGAAACGTTTCGAAATAAAGATACCTAACTGTTGCATATGTGTCTTACCTAACAATCTGTCGGTATTTTATACCATTTTAATGTTCATGCTTCAATATGATTGGTTAAGTATGCAGAGAGGAGAGAGGATCAGCGTTGATTGGTGGATAACACTTCATATCTGCGTTTGATTAGTTTTTCGTTCCTGTCGTAGAGCCATTTTGAAGTCTTTTGAAGGCAGGTTTTGATAATAAACTAAGTTTGAGCAGACTTTTGCTGTCTTTTTCTAAGTCTGCAATTAGGGAAGTTTCAGTGTGGGGATCGCATCCAGGAGCAACAGTGTACTTGATACTACCATGGTGCATGGAATAGATGACCTGAGGTGCATATAGCGACGGGGTGTGAGGGTTATATATATAGAAGGTGAGGGGTTCAGTTGGTCTAAATATTGTTTCCTCTTCCATTTCTTCAGGTCTTCGAGTATCTTGAGGTGGATTTTCAGGAGGAAGTGTCTTAGCTTTCTTGGCTTTTGGTGGTTGAGTTGGAGATGAAGCAGGTGGTTCGTTAGTAATAGTAGCAGAGGTGGAAGACTCAGGTGATTGGTCCACAGCGGTGGTGATGTTGGAAGTCGCTGATTGGTTGTTTCTTGGAGATGGAATTTCAGGTGTTGTGATGTTGCCTAATTCTTTAGTGAGCTTGATGATGTCGGCAGATGGTGGAGAGTCTGGGAAAGTAAAGTTTGGCATGTTGTTCAATCGGAAGAGCTCGTTAATAACAGTGTTGAAGGAGCCTGGTAACGCCATATTATGCATGTGTGCATATAGCATACAGTAATGAATTTTCGTAGGTTCATAAGCTGATGGAGTAGTGGTGGAGGGTTGGGTAGCTTTTAAAAGTTTTGTTGTGTTGGCCTGGAGTTTGGTGATGGCAGCATAAGTAGGTGACTTGGAAGGTGTCTTCTTCTGTTCTGCTTCTTGGCTTTTTCTTAGAATTTCACGACGAGTGGGGCACTTTGCAGCGAGAGTATAGTGATTGTTTTTGCAGTTGAGACACTTAAGTGGAGCAGTAGAAGTACAAGTCTTGGAATCGTGGCCTTCAGACCCGCAGGTAGAGCAGAACTTTTTGTCTTTTGTGGGGCAGTCTTTCGTAGAGTGTAGGTAAGAGTAACAACTCCAGCACTGGGTAATATGATGGTACCGCTCAGCTTCAATATGACTGGAGTTAATGAAGTAATAGTATATGGCCAGGCCTTCAGCCATAGCTTGGGCAGCCATTGTCACATCAGTAAAAATGATTTTCAGCAGGAAGGAGGCAGTAGGAATCTTGGTGATGCTTTCAACTGTAGCCCAGGGATTTTGTTCTTCTATGGAGGTCTTTAGGTCTTCAACAGGTTGTATGGTAATCAGTTTGTCAAGTCTCTTCAAGAAGACAGTCCTCTTAGCCCGTAAGGCAGGAGAGGACATGACTTTGAAGCCACGGTCTGATAGATTGGACAAAGCGGAGGAGGTCAGTAGTTTTTCAACTTCAACATCGTCTTCACAGACAATAATGAAGGCTTCGTGGAGTGAGAGGATGGTATTAATCTTGACCTGTAGACCCCTGATTACCACAGCATAGGCAAGCTTGGTGGAGTCATTGATCGTACCACTGGATGGTTTTATCTTGACTCTGTTGGAGAAGCTCATCTTGGGACAGTGTTCGAGCGCAGGCAAGAAAGCTGGCGTTTATATACTGGCGTCAGGTGAAAAGGGGACGGGTAGCAGACTAACTTCTACTAACTTCTACTAATCCGTCCCTTGGGTATGATCTACTTCCACTGGGGAATTTCGCCTACTAGTGACAATGCCTTCGTCTGCTACCCGTCCCCTTTTCACCTGACGCCAGGGAGCCTGTGCTCCCGATTCTTCACGACTACGATGCTCTTCACACCAACTCCAAGGCTGAGGGACTGATTACCTCATCTTTTGTATATAGTTTTACTGCCTTCAAATTTTGTCCTAGAATCTATATTGATAAAGCCACTAGATGGTGAAACGTCTACATTAAAGATACCCAGATGTTGCATATGTGTCTAATTTTCATCTTGTCGGTATTGTATACCATTCATGCACAGTTAATATGTCTGTGATCTCTGACATGTTGGTGTCGGCAAGGCGATCACTTCTTTAATGCTCATAAATCTGTCAAAAGGGAGCGGCCAGTTCAGCTACGAAAGTATGGGAGGACAAGAATTAGCAAAAAAATGGAGTAGACACAGGAAGCATCATTGACAGAAGAGGTATGAACTAGATTACTGCGTTGGGTGATGAAAAGCAACTTTGATATCTAAAGGACGGAGGGCGTTGTTATGATTTTGAAGACTGGAAATATAGGGAAGGGTAATAACAGGAGAGGTGAGTTTGGGAGTGAAGAAAATTAGCTTAGCATGAGAGTAGGCAGAGTTTATGGACTCGGAAAGATGGTATAAAACTTGGTAATAGATACCGACAAGTTGGTCTAGAAAGACACGTAAGTAAACACTAGGACATATTTATTATAAAGCGTTTCTGTCCTGGGACCTTAATCAAGGGAAGATAACCAAAGTGAGAGAACGAGCTATGGAGACTAAATATTTCAGAGTGGAGAAGCTGAGGGTCACAGATGAAGAGAACAAAACATTTCTTGGCAGAGGAAGTATGGTAATTAAAGTAGTAATCATACATGCCACTGTGCGTAGACGTACAGGAAGCGAGAGCGGTGGATATGAACATCAAGGAAATAGATTCCCCTTCGACTTTGAGATTGGCAGATGGAACAAGATTGTTCGAACCATCAAGAAAATGGTTGGAAGTTATGTGGCCAAAGAGTAAAGACATCATCCTTGCTAGACGGGGCGAAACTTCAATCACGAGATCCCTCACCTAAGTGCTGATTTCTGGTGCAGTATATTAATGTTGAAAATGGTATAAAATACCGACAAGTTGAAGACTAAGACGCATGTTTCGCCTACACAGTAGGCTTCTTTAGTCAAATACAAAAGATGTGATCAGTTCATCAACCTTGGAGAAAAAGTATTTGAGGTGGTCAGTCCCATAGCCTGAGGGACTCTTCCTTGTGTATTTGACTGAAGAGGCCTACTGTGTAGGCGAAACGTTTCAACAATCAAGATACCCAACTGTTGCACATACGTCTTAATCTTCAGTATATAATACTTTAACCTGGGCACAACTCAAGGTCGAAGCTCTGAAGGTTCTCAAAGTTAAGTTCCTCTTATCACCTTATCTCTCATTAATTCTTAAAATTATTATCTGTTTGTCCAGATGTTTATTCATCATTCACTTCCATTCTTCACTTCTTATTCATCTTTCACTTCAGTTTTTCACTTCTTATTCGCTTAGACCTGTGCAACACAATTGTCGTCAAAGATGTTGCACATCTTTGAGAACAAAGATTGTCCTCAAAGATTTGTTAAGGTATACCATGAATTAAGGAAAAATCCTAGACTTCACCTTACAAAAGTAGACAAAACAAATGCGATAGTAATTATGGGCAAGGTAGATTATAGGGGAAAAATAAACATGATATTAGGAGACAGGGAAACTCACGCGTCTCTTAAATCATTCATCTTTCTCCTGAGAGTGTAACGGACAAGTGTAGTAGTAGCAGCAGCAACACACACAGCAAGAGGCATATTCTTGAGCTTCCCCAGCGCTCGGGCTTAATGCCCAAAGCTGGGGTATGACTCCAAAAGGATCCTGTAGTGCTTGCTGCCTTTGCACCTCCTGATATCGTCTGCTGCTATGCAGCTGTCACACCCTTGGAGCCCAGTGTGGGCGGGGTTTGTGGCAGCCCAAGGTGCCTAGCTTCTCCCTCCGAGCCTTGTGGGGGCGGGGAATGGGACTAGGCTTGGAGACAGTTGGTCCCAGAAGACGAGGAGGTACTTGTACCTCCTTCCACGGCAGACATTGGTCTGAGACACTCCCATGACAGGAAGCCAAGGCTGGGCCACCTCTTGGAAAAGGCTCAGACTGGGCGATTATACCAGGGAATCTACAACAGAACATCTTTCTCTTAGACCTACCATCCTGTTAACTTGTGCTCCCAGTGAACATTTATCATCGTCATCTGTATTTTCCCCCTCTATCTTTGTGCAACATTTGGGTATCTTTATTCTGGAAAAGTTTCTCCAGCCAGTGGCTTCTTCAGTCCAGTGTAGAGAACGGTGGAAGACGAGGAGTTTGAGATAATCAGTCCCTCAGTCTGGAGTCAATGTTTGCCTGCTGATTACTTTGAACACCTCATCGCCCACTGTTCTCTACATTGGACTAAAGAAGCCACTGGTTGGCGAAACGTTTCCAGAATAAAAATGCCCAAATATTGCACAAATGTCTCATTTATCAACTTGTCGGTTCTCTAAACCAGCTCGACGTGCCTTCACAATTCACAATTCACGGTCGTCTAATACGTCATGTAATACGAGTGCTGCCCGATTAAGTTTCTAACTATTTTTTTATCTAATTAGCTAACACACATGAAATACAAGGGCACTAGGCTCTAATCAGCCCTACACAACTGTCTTAGTATGATAAGCGTTCATGAGCACTGTGCCGCACAGTATCTTATCACTGCAACCACTTTCCCTCCTGGTGTTCCTTATCTGCTCACTGTTTCTGTCTCTTTCCCATCACTCATTACTTTGTTAGTATAATCCACCACATTCTTCTACTGTTATTCATCCATCCCTTGGTATCATCCGTCATATTCTTATACTGTCACCCATGCTTCTGTTGATACCATCCACTACATTTTTCTATAACCCATCCATCCGTTGATGTACTTCACTTATTCTTTCGAGTCTCACAGGTGGAGCCACTACAGCTGTGTGTGGACGTGGGTTGTGGCTCAGGGCAGAACACTAACATTGTTAACTTCTCACAGGTGGAGCCACTACAGCTGTGTGTGGACGTGGGTTGTGGCTCAGGTCACAACACTAACATTGTTTTAAATTCTCACAGGTGGAGCCACTACAGCTGTGTGTTGGACGTGGGTTGTGGCTCAGGGCAGAACACTAACATTGTTAACTTCTCACAGGTGGAGCCACTACAGCTGTGTGTGGACGTGGGTTGTGGCTCAGGGCAGAACACTAACATTGTTAACTTCTCACAGGTGGAGCCACTACAGCTGTGTGTGGACGTGGGTGTGGCTCAGGCCAGAACACTAACATTGTTAACTTTTTCCCCAGGTGGAGCCACTACAGCTGTGTGTGGACGTGGGGTTGTGGCTCAGGCCAGAACACTAACATTGTTAACCTTCACAGGGGGAGCCAAATACAGCTGTGTGTGGACGTGGGTTGTGGCTCAGGCCAGAACACTAACATTGTTAACTTCTCACAGGTGGAGCCACTACAGCTGTGTGTGGACGTGGGTTGTGGCTCAGGCCAGAACACTAACATTGTTAACTTCTCACAGGTGGAGCCACTACAGCTGTGTGTGGACGTGGGTTGTGGCTCAGGGCAGAACACTAACATTTTTTTTTTATTTTATTTATTTTATTTATGAATTTTAGCATACATACAGAGGTACAAAAAAATACAGGTAAGAGCAGCATGCCAAAGCCACTTATATGCATAGCATTACGGGCTGGCTTAAAATTAACTTAAGATTAACTAAGCAATGATGAAATCAGTGATAAGACATTATTGTAAACAGATAACTATAAAATACAAATGAGTATTACAAAGACAGGTCATGTGGTTGCATGCATTGCTGTTCACTCAGTAGAATGGAGTATTCTGTTAGGTAGTGTAGTTAAAAAAAATAACAAAGTTAGGTTTAACATTTGTGTGATATAATTGTGAGTAACATTTAGGATATACAATTTTATGGTTCAGTTTATTCAGTATTTATTTGGTTTTGAGTGAGTAAAATGAACTTTGGAGAAGAGACTTGAATTTATACACAGGTAGTGTTTCTTTTATATTTACAGTAATGAATTCCAGATTTTAGGCCTTTTATGTGCATTGATTTTTGCATAGCGTGAGATGGGACACGAGGAACATCAAAAAGTGATCTGTGCCTTGTATTATGGTCATGTGTTCTGTTGAGGTTTGGCAAGGAATGTTTGAGGGGAGGGTTAATATCAGAATTAAGTGTTCTATGTATGTAATAGGTGCAATTAATAAGTATGGATGTTTTGTAAAGGTGAGTAGGTTGAGTGTTTTGAATATTGTGGAGTGTGCTGCCTGTAGTGAGAATTTATCATTTTTCTAAAATGCAGCCTTTTGTTGGGTAATTTAGTGGTCTGAGATGGTTAGTGTTGTTGAGCCCCAATGCACAAATTCCATAGGTTGAGATAGGGGTAAATAAGAGAGTGATAAAGGGGCCCGGAGGGCTGACTGTGGGAAAATAGTACCGTATCTTCGATAGTAGCCTACGTCTTGAAAATTTTCTTAGAAATTTGTTGTATATGTGTATGAAATTTGAGTCTATTTATCGAGGTGGATTCCCAAGAATTTTCCCTCTGTTAGCTTTGTGATAGGTGATCCGTTTATCGTTATGTTAAGAGGTACATCTGTAGCTCTGTTACCAAACTGAATGAAGTAAAGGGTTTTTTCAATGTTTAGTGTAAGTTTGTTAGTCCTCATCCAGGTAGATATTTTCTGTAATTCGGTTTTACAGTATTGGCTAGCGTGACTGGGCTCGGTGAGAGAAGACGTAATGTAGTGTCATCTGCAAAAAGTGTGGGTTTGAGTAATTGCGAAGCATTTGGTAGGTCATTTTATGTATAGGAGAAAGAGAAGAGGGCCAAGGTACACTTCCCTGTGGGACACCAACTGTAATTGGTTGTGCGGGGAAAAGCTTGCCCCATTTGCGTACACATATTGGCTTCTGTTGCTGAGGTATGACTTGAGGTAGTTGAGGGAGTGCCCTCTTATACCATAGGTGTGACAATTTTACGTGGAGCAAGTCATGGTCAACTGTATCAAAAGCTTTACGTAAGTCAATGAAGATCCCCAGTGGGACTTCTTTTTTCTCTATTGCAGTGTATATATGTTCAAGCATGTGTATAATAGCATCATTAGTATTTTTATTAGGCCTGAATCCAAATTGGCAGGGTTGAGAATGTTATGGGAGATGAGGGTAGGAGTAGATTCGTTTATGAAAAATTAAATTTTTTTGAAGATTTTTGAGAGAGGGTTTTAAATTGGATATTGGCCTATAGTTATTCAACTCTGGTTCCTCCTTTATGGATCGGGGTGACCCTTGCTATTTTGAGAACTGTAGGGAAGGTGGAGGATTCAATGGATTGTTTTAAAGAGTGTTGCAATGTTGGTGATAGTACTTGTGACGCTTTTTTTGTATATAAAGGGTGGGTAAGGTATTTAAATCTCCTGCCTTGTTTTTCATGCGTTGATAATAAGGAGACTTCGTAATGGGTTAGTCGGAGCTAGGAACGTGTGTTCGGGTAGTTGCCAGTGAGGTAGTCATTTGGTGGGGGTATCTGAGCTTGGGAAATTATTGGCAAGGTTTTGCCCATAGTGGAGAAGAAATCATTTAGTCGTTTGCTGTTTCTGTTGGTGGGAGTTTGGGTTTTATCTGATTTTGCTAATTTTATTTCGCTATGTCGTGATATCTTTTTTGTTCCCAGAATTTCTGATAGGGTCTTCCAGGTCTTTTTTATATCACCTCGTAAGTTGGATAATCTGTTCTCATAAAAACAATTTTTTTGCCTTCTTATCAGGCTGGTTAGGATTGACGAGTAACGTTTTTTTGGTCTCTGGTTAATTGCGAAAAAGATTTAGGAGTTCTGGTTAGCATTTAAACTGAAACCAAGACAACAGTGCATAAGTGTTCGCAATAAAGCTAATAGAATCCTTGGCTTCATATCAAGAAGCATAAATAATAGGAGTCCTCAGGTTGTTCTTCAACTCTATACATCCTTGGTTAGGCCTCATTTAGATTATGCTGCACAGTTTTGGTCACCGTATTACAGAATGATATAAATTCTCTGGAAAATGTACAAAGGAGGATGACAAAGTTGTCCATGTATCAGAAACCTTCCCTATGAAAGGGTAGGGCTAAGGGCCCCGAATCTGCACTCTCTAGAAAGGGCGTAGAATTAGGGGGGATATGATTGAGGTGTAAAATGGAAGACAGGAATAAATAAAGGGGATGTAAATAGTGTTCTGAAAATATCTAGCCTAGACAGGAAATCGCAGCAATATTTAAGTTTGGAAAAATTCAGATTCAGGGAAAGGGTTTTAGGAAAGTACTGGTTTGGTAATAGAGTTGTGGATGAGTGGAACAAACTCCCAAGTACCGTTATAGAGGCCAGAACGTTGTGTAGCTTTAAAAATAGGTTGGATAAATACAGAGTAGATGTGGGGGGGTGTGAGTTAGACCCGAAGCTTGTGCTACCAGGTCGGTTGCCGTGTTCCTCCCTTAAGTCAATGTGACCTGACCTGACTAGGTTGGGTGCATTGGCTTAAGCCGGTAGGAGACTTGGACCTGCCTCGCATGGGCCAGTAGGCCTTCTGCAGTGTTCCTTCGTTCTTATGTTCTTATGTTCTTATGTTATTGACCCATTCTGTAAATGTTTTTTCATATCTGGTTTTGTATTTATGGATTTGAGAATATGCCCGGTGTTAGCCAGGGACTGTTCAGTCTCTTAGCTGTCATCTGTTTAGTTTTTTTAGGGCAGTGCTTGTTATAAAGGAATTGGGTCTTTTTTAGAAAATTATTAAAACATTCGTCAATATCTGTATAGATTTCTAGCTCAGTGTGCCAGTCAATGTTTGTTACTGCTGTTGTGAAGTTATTAATGGCTGCCTCATTGTGAAGTCTGAAGGTGACTTTAGTAGTGTCTTGGGGTATTTTTTCCAAGAGTTTATGGGGAAAATAGGTATGGTCTGTGTATTATCTGTAATTATGCCTGATTTTAAAGGGGATATGGTTTGGTCCAGATGTGGTCAAGTAGGGAAACACTAGTCCCGTAACTCTTGTAGGTTTTGTTACTGTTGGTAGCAACAGCAGGTTACTCATTGTGTTTTTTGAATTCAGTAACGTGTGGGTCCTGGTCTTGCAGGAGATTTATATTTAAGTCACCTGAGAGAGTAAGTGATCTTTGTTCATGCGTGCATCAGTTTTTCATACTTCCTTTAAAATCATACTTCCATAATGTTTTATTGTGGAATTCTGTAGATGTTTATCACTGTGAGAGGTTTTTGTAGGTATTTGGGTTTGAATTTGATTTAGCTATTTATGTAATTTGTAGTCGAAATTTTTTCCCCTGAGCGGTGTATCCGTTTTAGGGGCCTTCCACTGAGCGGTGTATCCCGGGATAAGGGCCTTCCATGAGCGGTGTATCCCGGTTTTAGGTCTTTTACTGAGCGGGGTATCCGGTCAGGCCACAGCTGGAGGGTCACCTTCACACCTATG